CTCATCTGTTTCAAGCTGAGAAAGATTTATTTCCTGAAGGCAGTGAAAATATAGGCCTTGGAAGCAGTAGTTCTAACTGCCAGGACACAAAAGAATGAGTAGGATCCAATACCAGTAGAATGAGGCAGTCTCAGAATAATCTACAAACTAAAATTCTTCTATCTCCCTTTGTGGTGCTTGAGAAAAAGACTTCATGATTTTGAGAAAATATTTTTTGTCTTGGAGATTATTCAAACATTAGCTTACTGTTTTGTAGAATGAATACTTATTAAGCTGACATGAGACTATCTCAGAAGCACTAGGCTGGTTCACTGCACTGCTTGTTTTTTCAGAATATCTGTGAATATTACACATTTTTTTTCTAAAATATTCTAGAGTATGCAATGGTCTATAGAATTAAATATACCACTGTACTGGAAGAATTAATGTATATCTTTAGTGATATACTTAAACTAAATGACTAAAGGTTTAGGGGTGCATAGAAACCACAATAATTTGTGTAACATTTTGAAGTGCATTAAATATTTTTTAACATGATTCTTTAACAGCCAGTATTCTGTTTTTGTTATCAACACAAAGCCTAATGACTACCCCAAATGCATGATTTTTAATTCACATATTTAAAAGTCATGTGACTTGTACAACTTCCCTGTCAAAATTACTAGCTCCCAAATTTATACCTGTTTCTTCAGCTGTATCTTTTGATTTTTTTAAATTTTCTGTAAAGTAGATGTTATAAAATGTAACACCTTTGCTGTCTTCATGAAGTGGTGTATAATTGTATGATCCCTGTATGTAAACAGAATGCTTGTTTGTAAACAGGGCTTTTTTAAAAAAAATAAAGAGTTTATTTACCGATTTGAGAGAGACAGAGAGAAAGAGAGAGCATGCAAGCATGAGCAGGGGTATGGCCAGAGGGAGAAGGAGACCCCCTACTGAGCAGGGAGCACAACACAGGGCTTGATCCCAGGACTCCAAGATCTTGACCTGAGCTGATAGCAGCTGCTTCACCAACTGAGCCAGCCAGGTGCCCCTGAATACTTGGGCTTTTAATATAGAATTTTAGATAGAAGTAAATACTAGAGTTATAACAAGTAATATGTAAATGTTATAAGAACTGTACAACAATATTGAAGGAATCTCAGATTTGGGGCATTAAAATGCCAGCCAAAAAAGATGTATTATATGAATCCACTTATGTGAAATTCAAGAAAAAGTAAAACTAATTTTTACTTTTTACTAATTTTAATTTTTACTTTTACTAATAATTACCTCCAGTGTGTTGGGATATTGATTAAGAAAGAGCAAGAAATGTTCTATATATTGATAGGGGTGTTCATTAAATGCATATATAACCTATATGTAATTTCATCAAGAGCCACTTAAGATTAGCGCAATTTATAGTATTCGTTAAGCCCCAACAAAAGTATAATTATATATGCATGTTTATGTGTAGACTTATACATAATTATATCATGTATACATGATATACTTTTGTTGACCTTGGCCACATCAATGTTCTAGAGCTTCTTCACAGCCTGTTTGATCTCGTGCTTATTGGCTTTGACTCCACAATGAACACAAGCGTGTTATTGTTTTCTATTTTCTTCATGGCTGACTCCATAGTCAGGGGAAATTGATGATGGCATAGTGGTCAAGCTTGTTTCTCCTGGGGGTGTTCTTTTGAGGATATTTGGGCTGCCTTCAGAGATACAATGTCTTGGGCCCATCAGAATGTAGGTGATCTGCAGATTTTTTTTTGATGACCATGGATGACTTTCAGCACCACTTTCTTGATCTTCTAAGCCTTTGACTAGGCTTTGGGTTTGAGAGGGACAGGGGCTTCCTTGTCTTTGTTGTCATCTTCATGGAAGGGTGAAATAATTTAATCCACAGAATCTAAGGCAGTATGCTTCCACTATAACTTAGGACCTAAGAACATATGTTTTATTTAAAGAATTCTCATCCTTTTCTCTTATGATAAGATTATAAAAGTGACCATAATTTATTGCAATTCCTGCCATCAAGAGATGCAGTCTGTTCTACTCCTTGAATCTGGACTGAACTGTAAATTTTCTTTGTACCACAGAATGACATAGAAGCCACATTATACTAGTTTGGACCTGGGCTGTTAAGGGCTCTGTTAAGGGCTTTTGCTTGCTGTTTGTGGGACCCTTGCCACTGCTACCATGTGAACAAGCCTGAACTAGTCTGTTGGAGCATGAGACATCACATGGAGACATCAAACCATCCCATTTATTTATTTTTTATTTTATTTTTTTTTTAAGATTTTATTTATTTATTTGACAGAGAGAGATCACAAGTAGACAGAGAGGCAGGCAGAGAGAGAGAGGGAAGCAGGCTCCCTGCTGAGCAGAGAGCCCGATGCGGGACTCGATCCTAGGACCCTGAGATCATGACCTGAGCCGAAGGCCGAGGCTTAACCCACTGAGCCACCCAGGCGCCCTATTTTTTATTTTTTTTTAAGATTTTACTTATTTATTTAAAGCACATGAGAGTGAGCAGGGAGAGGGGCAAAGGAAGAGGGAGAAAAACCTCAAGCAGAATTTGTGCTGAGTGTGTGGAGCCCAACAACGGGCTCAATCTCATGACCCTAAGATCATGACCTGAACCAAAATCAGGAGTTGGATCCTTAACTAACTGAGCCACCCACGTACCTCTCCAACCACACCATTTTAGAATAGCCAATCCTCGGATGCCAAGTAGCTACCCGCAGATGTATGCATCAGCCCGGCTGTGATTAGTCAAATCTGTCCCTGATCAGCAGAACCACCCAGTCAAGCCCAACCTAAATTCAAAAGCCACATTATCATGAATGAAGTAAATTTTTTGGGTGTAATTTTTTTGGTGGTCAGTTACACAGCAAAAACTAATTACTCTCAGTCCATTATAATTCTTTACCGGAGAGAGTAAATTTTTGGAACACTGCCATCTCTGGGCCAATATTAAACTTATGATTCCACAGTCTATGTTTACTGAGAATTATGAGCACTCGTTAAATACACTTACCTTAATGGGATTCCTATAGAAAGACTCCTTTCCTGAAGATGGGAATGACATGGCAATGATACGCTCTGTAAGCCAAAATAGCCACTACTATGAATATCATTATAAATGTGAAACAATATATGAGAACTGAACTTATATACAATCAGACTTCTTTTTCATAGAAAAGAACTTTCTGGATTAAGAATGATGGGGAAAAAAGCTACTTCTCTGTATAATCAAGAAAACATATTAAATTATCTGCTATAATGACCATTAAACTCACACAGTGTTCTTAAGACTCAACTGGTTCCTGCCATATGGGACAGATTTGTGTTGACCAGTGGTGAGAATTCATTTCCTATGTAGACACCAGAGAAAAATGAGAAATCTGGGTTCCAGCAATGGCGGGGACTCTCAGGGTGCCTTCCAGAGTTCCTGACTCAGAAAACTGAGATCTCTTATTCTCCAGAGTTTCTGGAAGAGAACAGGTCTTTCTGAAATCCTTGTACCCCAGAAAAATACCAGAACTCAAATTCCAAACCAAATAAAGGGAGCCAACTGGAAATCCATTCAATTTCCTGGAAGGTAACCAAGCAGCCCTGATTTGAGAGGACCATGTAGATTTTCCATTGTCAGGGATAAACTACAAATATGTTGTGCTGCCATAGTGGCTCATGTCTTCATGGATAAAGAATGCTTTGAAAGAACATGGCTCAGACAAAGCAAGAACCAGATGAACATAATTACTCACACACCAGAAAGATTTGATGTTAATACAAGTAAATCAACAGTTAAACTTTACAAACCGGTAACATAAGTGAGGTCTAAGTCAAATCCATCCTTCTTGTACCGCCGTTTGTTTCCTGAAACCTGAGAGTTGAAAACAATCATTAACTTATGAGATGAAAAATCATCATAAAAATAAAGAATATTATATAGATATCTAAAACCCTTGTCAGTATTCCCTGAAGCAAACATATTCTGAATCATAAAGATATTTTGCCTGCTTACCATCCTTCTGGCCAGCTGTTCAAGATGCCTCTTTTGATGAACCAGATGAAAAACTCTTACAAGAATGACAAGTCGTAGAAGTCGAAAGAAAATTGTCAATCTAATGGTAAAGAGATTCATTTTTGCTTTAGAAATAGGATTTTGTCAATATGGATCAAACCTAGAGCTATAGTTCTTAACCAGGGGTGATTTTGCACACACACTGCCCACCCCCCCGCAAACCAAGCCTCTTAACCACCCACCTATAGGATACTTGGCAATGTCTGGGGATATTTTTCGTTGTCACACTGTATGAGGGTGTGCTACTTGTACCTAGTGGGTAGAAGCCAGGAATGCTACTAAACACCAATGCACAGGACAGCCCTTATAACAAAAGAACTCTGTGGTCCGAAGTACCCATAGTGCAGAGGTTGAGAAACTCTGGGGGAGAGAAATAGTTATATGATAGACTTAGAATTTGTGGATTGAACTTTTGTGATTTAAGATGAGCATTTTCCCATCATTTTCACATCAAAACTTTCTTCTGTCAAATGGTTCTTGTTCACCTGTGTCTTTCCCATCAGTAACGAGGCTCACTACAGCTGCTAACACATTATCAGGCAGGCAACAGATTAAGATATTTCCCGAGTGTGCTAGCTGGTGGCTCTCCTACCATCAGAAAAAAACATGATGGCAGAGAACTGAATGGTTTGAATATGTGCTTCTTTAACTTGACTGTGCAGATGATTCAGTAGGTCTGGAGTAGGGCCTGAGGTATTTTTCCTCTTGCATTTCTAGCAAGTTCTTTGGTGATACTGAGGTTGCCAGTCAGAGGACCATAGTGGATCTAGTTATTTCAAAACAACTTCAAAAGCCTATCATAGGACATCACATTTTATTGGGACCTGAATTGAATCCTAAGCGTTGGAGTACAGAAAGGATCAAGATGTTGGGACTCATGAGTGAGCCACCCAACATCTATATCTCAATATACATCTATTCCTTTTCTTCATTGCTACTGTAGGAAGAGGAAAAGCAGGGGAGAGGGGGACATTTTCAGTCTCTCATACACGTTTTAGTTTCCTGATACCTAAACAGTTCTAATGTTGCCTCAGGTTTCTTCATTTCAGCTATATTGCAAAATTCCACTACCATGGTTCTACCTATGTCACCTTGTTTTCTGTTCCATTTGTTCTTTCTGAGAGAAATCATCTTGGAAGTCACCCAAATTTTGGATATGTTCAAACTAGTACTCTCTTGGTTACAGGATAAACTCAGGAATTTCATGTGTAAGGAACTTGTAATTGAAGCTCAATGGGAATTCAGTGGGAATTTCTTTTTTTTAAATTTAAATTCAATTAGCCAACATATAATACATCATTAGTTTTTGATGTAATGTTCAATGATTCATTAGTTGACTAGAATACCCAGTGCTCATCACATCACATGCCCTCCTTAATGCCCATCAGGAGTATCACAATGCCTGGCTTCAAGCTGTATTACAAAGTTGTGATCATCAAGACAGCATGGTACTAGCACAAAAATAGACACATAGATCAATGGAATGGAATAGAGAGCCCAAAAATGGACCCTTAACCTAGGGTCAACCAATTTTTGAAAAAGCAGGAAAGAATATCCAATGGGAAAAAACCATCTTTTCAATAAATGGTACTAGGAAAGTTGGACAGCCACATGCAGAATGAAACTGGACCATTTCCTTACACCATACACAAAGATAAACTCAAAATGGATGAAAGACCTAAATGTGAGATAGGAATCCATCAAAATCCTAGAGGAGAACAAAGGCAGTAACCTCTTAAACCTCAGTGGGAATTTCAAAATGTAGAGAAGCTAAAGGGAGTACAAGAGGCAAAGTCCCAACTTTCTTCTTTGGGGGCTCCATGTTCTTTATTCAGCTAAAGGTACTTAATCTGTATACCCTTCACTCTTCCCTAAATACAACCATTCTTTAGTTTCTAAGTATGTGGAAATTTGTCTAAATATTTCATTTATGGTAGCTTATTTGGCTCAGGATCATCACATTCAGACTTAGAAAGATTATACAAAAGGAATAATACAGAAAAAGACCCCCGCCCCCAAAAAAGAAAAAAAATTAAACTTTAAGAGAAATAAACATATATATCTTACCTGGGGATAGTTTGAAGAGACTTAACGTCACAAAACATATAAATAATATTAATCAGTAGAGTCATTACAATAATGACAGCATCCAAGAAGTTAAGTGCATCAGAAAAATAGTATTTTATCCTGTAGTATAAAACAAAAAATATTAGTGTATGCTGTCCCAAAGAAATAAGGATATTTTAAGAACACAAATTATTGGACTTACTCCATTAAGCATTCTAGTTTAATGGATTCTTTAAAATGCATACTAGACTAGACTAAGGAGGAAAACATCCAAATTGTATCTTATTTTATACAAACAAGTGACAAAAGCATCAATATGGCAACTTAAGTATGGGAAGAGATAGAACCAAACCATTGAATAAGAGGCAAGCAATGCCTTCACGTATTGGGTGAGAAAGATGGGCTGTTTGGCAATACTACTGAGCACCAGAAGCTAAATGTGTCACGGCCTTTGAGCAAGTGGGCTGTGAGGATTGTGCAAGAGAAACACACAGTCCAGTAATTGGTTTGCAAACTCTGGCTTTGTGCCTACAGTAGAATCCCTGTAGACTGGGATTTCCCCTGTAAAAGCTGAACTTCTATCCACTTTGCCTTTCTCCCCAACACTGGCTCCTTTAGCCAGGAGCACTGGTGCTCCAAGGAACTCTTCTTGGAATTCTGGAGTAGCTCCTCTAAGGCTCTGAGTAACCTGGGGGTAAAAACTGTCCTTGGTTCTGAAGTAGGAGGATAGAAGTTCAGCAGAAGAGGAGACAAGTAGCATTCTGAAATGCTCTACATGAAATGAGACTGGGGAATTAGTCCCTGACTCTCACTGCTGACATCTTCCAGGGCTTGGCTTACTTCGTTCACCTTTTCATAAATCCAGCAAGCAAAGAAAATCAGCTGCTGCGTCACCACCAAGCTTCACTGATGGGATGAGCATGCTACAGATCTCTTAATCCACTTCACCATAAATATGTTTTCAACTGAGGTAGGGGATTGTTCATGACCTATTATCTAGTATTGATACACTGTCAGATTTTATTTAGATTCAACTCTTGTTGAGATTTATATTCATAGCTCACACACATTTTCCTCTTAATAATGTACACACAGACACACAATAGTTGCCTGGCCCCACTTTGCAAACTCTTTAATCTTTACCTGTTGAAGGATCTGCAACATATTGCTGGAAATTAGAGTGCCAGCTGCAACAATAATATTAAAGCCCAATCCAGGAGAAATTAGAATTTGGATTGTTTTCTTGTTGACCATTCCTCCAAGGGGAATAGTTTTTCTTTTCTTTTTACTTTTTTTTTTTTTAGTTATTGATCTAGTCTTCCATGATTCATTATTTGCGTATAACACCCAGTGTTCATTGCAATACCTGCCCTCCTTAAGACCCATCATCAGACTAACCCAACCCTAACCTCCTCCCTCTGAAACCCTCAGTTTGTTTCCCAGAGTCCATAGTCTCTCATTGTTCGTCTCCTGCTCTGATTCTACCCCCTTCATTTTCCCCTTCCTTCTCCTAATGTCCTCCATGCTATTCCTTATGTTCCACATATAAGTAAAACTATATCGTAATTGTCTTTCTCTGCTCGACTTATTTCACTTAGCATAATCCCTTCTAGTTCCATCCATGTCAATCCATATATACAATGGAATATTACTCAGCCATGAGAAAGGATGAATACCCATCATTTGCATTGAGGAGAATTATTTTGATAAAGAGGGGCACATTTGTTAGGTTGCCTTGGTAATTATTTTGGGATGTTGCTCATAGCAGTACAAAATAGCTTCACATGCTTTTAAACAATTAATCAAACTTACCCTTCTACATAGGCTTGAAGAAGAACATCCATCAAAAAAAATAAAGCAATAGCTAAAGAAATTGAACGATATTCCAAAGGAATATATGTTGTGCTATTAGTGACGATCAGGTCTGTAATGATGAGAGACAGATCCACAAAGACCAGCAAAATTCCAAATATTCTACAACAGAGAAATAGAATAAAGATAAAGTGTTTTTTACTCTTAAAGTTAGACTACATTTAGGCCAATGATATATCAAAATGTCACTTAGGATTAAATTGTCCACTGGTACAGAATACTGTGTTGCCTTAGAATCTCAAAAACAATTACTAAGTTTTCACCCAATGGAAGCAACTGTTAGAGAACTAAAATTCCCATACCAACATTTCATGTTATCATGCCCTTTTACAAAGGACACATCAGATTAATGCTTCAAGATAGCACAGGTAACCTGAATTAAAATTCTATGTCTTGGGCGCCTGGGTGGCTCAGTTGGTTAAGCGACAGCCTTCGGCTCAGGTCATGATCCTGGAGTCCGGGGATCAAGTCCCGCATCGGGCTCCCAGCTCCACGGGGAGTCTGCTTCTCCCTCTGACCTTCTCCTCGCTCATGCTCTCTCTCACTGTCTCTCTCTCTCTCTCTCAAATAAATAAATAAATAAATAAAATATTTAAAAAAATTACATGTCTCAATTTGTAAACTTAGCTTAAATGCGAAATTTTTTTAAGGGGCTTCTACCAATATCTCATAATAAATAGAATCTCATTCTTATTGATAACTTTCACAAATTTAGCAATAAAAACCAAGTGAGAGCATGACTAACATGCCCTTAAAAGTCCACTTTGACTAGTAAGATGTTTTATCAGTGAGATTATATATTAATAGATGCTTCTAGCACAGTGCTGGGCACATGGGAAGGAATTCAGTTCCATAAATACATACATGATTGAACTCTAAAGTACTTCCAAAATCTTGCTTTCATATATTCCAAACACATTCTTCATAAACTGATTACACTACTTGTATAATCTATGAAGATAAATTTATTAGTCCTCAAAATACTTTCTTATACTTCCAATGCAAATTAAAATATTATAAATTTGTCATAAATTTTTAATAATTTTTGTACTATATGGTGGCTAACTGAACATAATAAAAATTAAAAATTAATTTTAATTTTAATTTTAAATACATTTAAAAGAAAGTAAGTATTTTGCGTGACTCTATATCATGGCAGAAAATCTCACAGTCACGTAGAGAAGTCCAAGCAGAATGCTTCCAGAATTAAGGAGTACTTCTAGACAAATAAAGTGTTTAATACAAACACTTGGATTTTAAAAAGCATCCTTCATTAATTTACTTTTACAGGTAGAAAAAATATACTAATATATTATTATCAGGCTTAGATACCATTTCTTTGCAATTCTTAATGTCCAGCTTAAACTAAAATTTCAAGACAAATTACATTAAATGGGGCACAAGGGCTTTTTAGCAACATATTGACAGTGAAAATGTGCCCCCCGAGGTCCTTTATTATTAAAAAATATTTGACGCTAAGTCAAGCAGAGAGAGTCAATTATCATATGGTTTCACTTATTTGTGGAGCATAACAAATAACATGGACGTGGAGAGATGGAGAGGAGAAGGGAGTTGAGGGAAATTGGAAGGGGAGGTGAATCATGAAAGATTATGGACTCTGAAAAACAACCTGAGGGTTTTGAAGGGACAGGGGGTGGGAGGTTGGGGGAGCCAGATGGTGGGTACTAAGGAGGGCACGTATTGCATGGAGCATTGGGTGTGGTGCAAAAACAATGAATACTGTTACGCTGAAAAGAAATTTAAAAAAAATTTTAATGATATGTGTAATTATCTCCTTTTCTAGGGTTTCACATACCTGAACGTTAGTGATGATGCAAGTGAGTACAAAATTCTACTAATCATGCTGCTGCAAAAAGAAGTAGAAATTAAATTCCAGAGTTTCAAGTTTATCACAGATTTCTTCTAATATAGAATATAAATTTAGCCAATAACAAAGGACAATATAGTTTGAAAGTTCTTCCGAAGAATCACAGCAAAATCTTTACCAAGATTTTCAATGTTCTGCTTCAAGATTTTTTAACTTTCATATGTAGAATAAATGCAAATAAAACACTCAACTATGTTCAGTAATATTTCCATTGCCTGTAAAGCCCCAGTCCCAAGTTTATGGTATTATTAAATTTGGGTTCATTAACTAAAGCAAGATAACATGGAGACAGAAAGTCAGGGTAGAAGAGATCAATGTCCCATCTCTCCCATTAATGAACTGTGGGATCCTGTGGCAAGTCGTCAAACCTTGGCCAGACCTGTTTCCATAGCAGTAAAACAAAGCCCTTCAATAAATGATACTCTTGTCTTATAATATTCATCTCTTGAAAAAAAAGACATACAGGAACACAACACTTAATCATTAATGAGAATCACATTGGAGTGGCAAGTGCCCTTTGAAGATACAGAATTTTAGTAAGATACATTTCTTTTTTCTTTTTTTTTAAGATTTTATTTTTTTATTTATTTGACAGAGAGAGGGAGATCACAAGTAGGCAGAGAGGCAGGGAGAGAGAGGGGGAAGCAGGCTCCCTGCTGAGCAGAGAGCCTGATGTGGGACTCAATCCCAGGACCCTGAGATCATGACCTGAGCCGAAGGCAGAGGCTTAACCCACTGAGCCACTCAGGTGCCCCAGTAAGATATATTTCAAAGGAGAAACACCCTAGAGACTGGGCTCCTTCCATTAACAGAAGGAGGAGGAGCCCGTTTGATGGAGCCTCCAGCTATGCCTGGAGACAAGGTGAGCAAATTATTGCCCTGCTGAAATCTACAACATAAGACCCAAATTTCACCCCAAGTGGTATTTATGTAAAAGCAGTGCTTATAGCCTTCACCCAAGACTAGACTGGCCAATGGAGTGAAGAGATGAATATAACTGGGCGCTGCCAAAATTCGGTACTTATGAATGCTATTAGGCTAACCTGAGATATAAGAGCTCCCCACTGCCTGCAAATTCTCCCTCCCCCAACTGCGCTCACTACGTCTGCCTAGGCTTAGGAAGCTGAGACTAATGCGGACACATGACTGATTGGCCAAAAGAGGGGAATTGCCCTGAGGCTGCCATTTTCTTAAAACACGCCCTTCTGATCACACACAGACTGGATCTCTGGATAGTGAGGAAATGTTACAAGAATTCTGAATTTACTTCACAAAGTGACAATACAGAACCCATGCCTGATAAAATCACAAGGCATGAAGGGGAGGCTTTAACTCCCCTATTTTTTTTTCAGTGCCTCCCAAAACTACTCCAAGTAAATATACAGTTGAGATTTTTTTTAAAAGACAGTGTGTTAAGATTGTAGCTTCAAACAACGGTGTGGAGTTTGCAGAGAAAGAACTCTGACTCAGTAATTTTATATTCAGGAGAAGCATTATTTGTATTTAAAAGGAACAGACAAACACCCTCCAATGTGCCATGACTCAAAGCAGAGAGGCCATGTGCCTCTCCTAAAAACAATTACTCAAAGAAGTGCCAACTTCTTTGAAAGTTGAGTCAAATGAGTCAATGAGTCAAAATGAAGAACTCAGGAATAAGGAAGATATCTTATAAAGACAAAGTGTTAAGAAATCACAAAGACTCAGAACTGAGCCTAAATAATCACTGTTAACATAGCATGTGGCAATGTAAACAATTGATTCTAAAACCAAGGTGAATAATATGAAATACTCCATAATAGTATGGCTTTAATATTGTAGGTTTTCAAGGGACTTCTGGGAAGATGATGGAATAAGAGGATCCTAAGTTTCCCTTGGGCACACCAAGATAATAGCTATGTCAGTGTAACTAACCCAGAAAATGACCTAAAGACTGACAGAAGAGACCTTCCACAGGTCATCATAGAGAGGAGGCCACACTGAAAAGTGGAGGTGGGGTGGAGATGCTGTGGGAAACAAAACTCCTACTAAGACTAACTTCAAATAAGAGGGACCCCACAAGCATGGAAAAGAGAGAGAAGCAGACTCCACAGAAGGTACCCCAGACTTGGGGGACATGCAATGGGAATACAAGCACCATAACATTTGGCTTTGAAAGCCAGTAGGGTTTAACATTGTGAGTTTATTCAACCAGCAGGACTTAATTCAGGGTACTTTAAAAATCAGTGGGCTTAGTTCTAAGAGAGCCAGAGGGCAATAGGAAACTGAGTCCTTGCCCTTACGGAGCAAGAAAAACAAGCAATCCCACTGAGATAAGCATAGAAGCAGCAGTTTGAAAAGGATCTGGGGTATAGTGAAGGAGATTTATTTATTAATCTCAGAGTATGTGCTGGAGAGCAGTGATCTTTAGACTTCTCCAAGAACAAAAGAGCTGGTGGGACCATTTGCCCCCTCCCTACCCTAGATAGCCTGGCACTTATGGGAACCAGTGAGAATACTTTACAGCTACCTTGCCAACAGCATGTCCCCTGCCCTCGTATTCTCCTGTGGATCTGCCACATCCAACATGCCCAACTTAGAGGGGCTGCCTTCAAAGTGACACCTGCCCTGAGGAGGGAAGGTAAAGGGAAGATAACTACACACATTAGTTCTACTGTAGTCCCAACAGCTGAACCTTATAATTGGCAGTGCAGGTGCCCTGTCAATCAATGCATGTGCCACCCAAACAGATAGATGGGGGCAGGTATCTGATCAGATTGCCAGACCCATCTGTCAACAAGAACCTGCCAGGGGACAGCACAGAGAGATAAACCAACAGTTCAGGGTCACTGTAGTTCTGGTAGATGGATTGGAGGCTGGTATCTTGTTAGTCTGCAGGTCTCACCCACCAACCAAAGACTCTCAACAGCACACTGAGTTCAGTGTGACTGCAACCCCAGCAAATGAGTTAAGGGCAGGCATCTTGTCTCACTGCTGATACCACCCAACTGCAAGTCCACAGCAGTCCCAGACTGGCCCCTTGACAGCAGAGGGACCTAAGCCAACCTACAACAGGCAAATTATAGCCAACAGGCCATTGTAGCCAACTGGACTGAAGGAAAGTGAGGCTTAGCCTACAGCAGTAGAGTACATGGAATCCACATAGAAGAAACCCCTGAAGCACCTGTTTCTGGTAAACAGGCACCCCAGAACCTCTTCTTCATAAGGTCCCTACTTTCAAAGTCAGGAGACATAACTGACTTTCCTAATACATAGAAACAAACACAGAAAGTTAGTTAAAGTGATGAAACAGAAAAATGTGTCCTAAATGAAAGGACAGGACAAAACAAGAGCAAAAGAGCTAAAATGAGACAGAGATAAGCAATATGCTTGATTTAAAAAAAAAAAAAAAAACTCAAATTAATGGACATAAAGATAATTACTGGACTTAAAAAAAGAGTGGAGGACCTCAGGGAGACCTTCAAAAAAGAGCTATAAAATATAAAAAAAGAACCAACCAGAGGTAAAGAACTCAATAACCAAAATTAAACATATGCTAGAGGGAATAAATAGAGTAGAGGAGGCAGACGAATCAATCAGCAAGATGGAACATAGAGTAACAGAAAGCAATCAAGCTGAACAACAACACAAAAGAATAAAAAATATGAATAGGTTAGGAACTCAGCAAAATCATCAAGCATAATAACATTCACATTATAGAAATCCCAAAAGGAGAAGAGAAAGAAAAGGGGGCAAAATTTGAAGAAATAGCATCCCAAATTTGGGGATGGAAACAGACATCCAGATCCAGGAGACACAGAGAGCCCCCAATAAAGTCAATACATAGAGGTCCACACCAAGATACATAACAATTAAAAAGGTAAAAGGTAGTGGTAAAGAGATTTTATCTTAAAGCAGCAAGTGAAAAATAAAGCAGTTACATAAAGGGGAAACCCCATAAGTCTATCAGTTGATTTTTCAGCTGAAACTCTGAGGCCAGAAGTGGCATAATATATTCAAAGTGCTGAGAAGAAAAAAAACCTGCCCTTAAGAACACTCTACTCAGCAAGGCTCTCTTTCAGGATAGGAGAAATGAATAGCTCTTCAAACAAAAGTGAAAGGAGTTCATTGCTACTATACCAGTCTTACAGGAAACATTAAAGGAAATTCTTTTTGTGGAAAGAAAAGGCCATTATTAAGAGTAAGAAAATCATGAAAGGAAAACATTTCACATATAATTACAAACATAATAAGTAATAAATTAGTTATAAAGCCAGTATGGAGGTAAAGCAAAAGGCAGTAAAATCAATTATATCTATAAAAATCAGTCAAGGGATTCATAAAACAAAAGGATATAAAGTCTGACATCACATATATAAAATGTGGTGGGAGATATACAAATATAGTGCTTTTAGAAAGGGTTCAATCTTAAGCTACCATCAATTTAATATAGACTACTATATGCAAAAGATGTTAGACATGAACCTAATGATAACCACAAATCAAAAACCTATAATTATGCAAAAAAAAAAAAAAAGAGAAAGGAATCCAAACATATCACTAAATGACCCATTAAGCCACAAGGGAAGAGAGCAAGAGAAGAACTACAAAAATAACTATAAAGCAAGTAACAAAGGGGCACCTGGGTGGTTCAGTCAGTTAAACATCTGCCTTCTGCACGGGTCATGATCTCAGGGTCCTGAGATCAAGCCGAACATCTGGCTCACTGCTCAGATGGGAGTCTGCTTCTCCCTCTCCCATGCCACTGCTCATGCTCTCTCTCACTGCCTCTCTCTCTCTCAAATAAATAAAATCTAAATAAATAAATAAATAAATAAAACAAGTAAAAAAATGGCAGTAAGTACATACCTATTAATAATTACTTAGAAGGTAAACCGACTAACTGCTCTAATAAAAAGACACAGGGTGACTGAATGGATAAGAACAAGACCTATCTATAAATGGTGCCTAGAAGAGACTCATTTCAGATCTGAAGACATGTAGATTGAAAGTGAGAGAATGGAAAAACATTTACTATGTAAATA